GGCCTCCTGCAGATGCTCTGATAGGGACTGGGGATAAAGCCAGCAACTGAGGTACATGCCCTTGACTAGAATCTAACCCGGGACCCTTCAGTCCAAGAGCTAATGCTCTGTCCACTGAGCAAAACATGCTGCAGCTTAATTCATTTACTTTTAATCTATATGTGTCTTTATATTTAAAGTGGGTTTTGTTTTTGATTCACCCTCATAATCTGTCTTTTAATTGGTGCATTTATGCCACTGACTTTCAGAGTGCTTACTGATAGAGTTACTGCCATATCAGGCGGCTTCTGGGGCCAGCCTGTGACCCAGGATTGGATTCATCATGGGCGGCAGGCAGGCGGCTTCTGGGGCTTCTGGGACCGGCCTGTGACCCGAGATCGGATCCATCACGGGCAGCAGGCAGGCAGCTTCTGGGGTCGCACACAGGGGCCTGGATGGCGGCTCGCACTCACGCTGTCCCACCCTGCCTGCAGTATGCAAATTTGCCACCATCTTTGTTGGTGGTTAATTTGCATATTGCACTGATTAGCCAATGGGAGGCATAGCAAAGGTACAGTCAATTACCATGTTTGGCTATTATTAGATAGGATTAAATGTAAACAAGTAGATAGGATGAATACTTATTTGAATTCAATGGGCAAAATGCATTAACAGGAAATTATAAGACCTTAAAATAGACTGGTTAATAAAGTGGCAAATGAGGGTACTAGAGTTTAGAGATGCTACGTACCAAGGCTACCACCTACTATAGATCTTGGGAGAGATGATTTGGCCTGGGTCATTTTTTATACTCTGTACTCATCCGAAGATGCAGAATATTTGACTTATAACTAAGCTGAGGAAAATCAAAGAGGACTCAGCAAGACTGGGGCTGTTTTTTTAAATTTTTTTTTTTTTTACATTCCCAATGCAGACACTAGTATTTTTAGAATACAGCAGAAAGAAATCCTAAAGACCCTCCAAAGTGTTCTTCAACATGAGGATTGCCACCCATTATGGCTCTTGAAATCCATTTTGTGGGTGATAATCAAGCAACTAAAAAAAAAAGGCCTGGCCAATGTGGCTCAGTTGGTTGGAGCATCAGCCTGTGCACTAGAGGGTTGCAGATTTGACTCCTGCCCTGGTTGGGGGCAAATGGAGGGGGAGACAATCGATGTGTCTCCCTCTCATTGATGTTTTTCCCTTCCCCTCCCACCCTCCTTCCACTCTCTCTAAGAATCAATGGAGAAAAATATCCTTGGTTGAGGATTAACCAAAAAACCAAACAAAACAATAAGCAATTTTTAAAAAACCACAATAGGCCTTGGCCAGTGTGGTTCGGTTGGAGTGTCATCCAGTACACGGAAGGGTCGCAGATTCGATTACCAGTCAAGGCACATATCTAGGTTGTGGGTTCAATCCCTGGTCAGAGCGCAGGCAGGAGGCAGCTGATACATGTTTTCTTCTCACATTGATGTTTCTCTTCCTCTTCCTCTCTAAAAGTCAATAAAAAAGCATTAAAAGCCTGGCTAGTTTGGCTCAGTGGATAGAGTGTTGGCCTGCAGACCAAAGGGTTCGATTCTGGTCAAGGGCACATGCCTGGGTCGCAGGCTTGATCTCCACTGGGGGCATGTGGGAGGCAGCCAATCCATGATTCTCTCTCATCAATGATGTTTCTATCTCCCTCCATCTCCCTTCCTCTCTGAAATCAATAAAAATATATTTTAAAAAAGCATGAAAAAATTTTAAACACAAAAGAATAGAACAAAAAACATCAGAGTCCCTAATTGATGACTAGTGTTAAGAATTATTTTAAGAAACTTGTTTTAATTTTACATGTAAGAAATAGTCACCTTATGGTATTTCTAACTGTACATCACAGGGTAAAAAAATTGAAAGTCACTTTTTCAATTCAAACTTCATTTCACAAATAAGGAAACTAGGGAGGAAAGTGATTTTCCCAAGGTCACAGTTAGTGGTATAGCTGGGACCACAATTCCCATTTCAGGGTACTTGTCTCCTCACACAGTGTCTTCACAAGACATGATTTGGAAATTCTTGCCATGTGTACTGATTACCAGTGATATGGACAAACAAACATGTGCAACTTATATAAAAATTAGAGACCCAGTGCATGAAAATTCATGCACTGGAGAGGGGTCACTCAGCCTGGCCTGCCCCCACTCATAGTCCAGGAGCCCTCAGGGGTGGGAGGCAACCTGGCAATCAGGAGAAGGCGACGCCCCATCACACCTCTGCTGCTGCCACTGCCACTGCTGGCAGTGCAAGCCTCGGCCAGCCCTGGTTACCTGAGCCTTGGGCAGCTGGGCAGCCACCATCCGAGGTTTGCCTGTGCCTCAGGCCGGCCCTGGGTGGCTGTGGACGCTGCCATCTTTGAGGGCGTGGCAGTCAACTAGCATATTCCCTCCTTATTGGCTGTGGGTACCGCCATCTTTTTGACAGTGTGAGGGTTAATTAGCATATTCCTCTTTATTAGATAGAATACTGTTTATTTAATGTTCACTTTAGTCATCAGAGTCCCTGCATGTTTTGTTGAGAAACACGTTTAGGAAGGACTCTGTGCCCCTTATAACATTTTGGAGTTAGAAAGATCTTTCATCTTCTGTCTAGCAGAAGGAGATCATGGAGAGTCTGGTCTGAAAATGCAAGGTGGTAAACTCACAGGCACTTTTTTTGTTGTTAATTCTCACCTGAGGATATTTTTCCATGGATTTTTAGGGAGAGTGGAAGAGAGGAAAAGACAGAAACATCGATGTCAGAGAAACACATTGATTGGTTATCTCCTACTCAGGCCCTAACCAGGGCCCAAGCCAGGGAAGAGTCTGCAACCCAGGTACATGCCCTTCACCAGAATCAAACCTGGGACCCTTTGGTCCACAGGCTGACGCTAAATCCACTGAGCCAAACCGGCCACAGCATAGGCACTTTTTAATAGCTAGGTGCTTGAGTGATGTTCATGAATGGGCTTTTGGTCACTCTGAAAATTGACACCATACCTCAATCCTAGATTTCCCAAGGTAGCCTCAATTTAAGAAAATTGGTGAATAGATGATGAGATCAGAACTTGACTGGTAGAAGAACTAAAGGAAGCCTTACCACGGTTATTGGGTGATGATGGGGATAGGACAGACTTTCTGGAAGAAGTAAGGGTCAATGTTGGGGTTCAGAATATGGTCTTTTGAAGACCTGAAATAAATCCTCTCCCCTCGGTGTTTCTGAGGGAGTGGAATGATATGGTCAGAACTTTTGGTAAGTGGTAAAGGTCAGAGAAGAACGTTATAA